CCCGCTCTGGCTCTGCCCCTTGGCTGAAAACCCCAGCTTGCCCGCGCTGTATTCAGAGTTACAATCTCCTCTCCCTCACTGCAAAATCCTATGCCTATCACAGCAGTCCTGAGTTGGACCTGCCCTGCCAAGTCTTCCTGGCCATGCTTTCATAAGCACCATCAAATAATCTTTTCCTTAACAGTGTGAGTGGCAACGTTTAAGAATATCAAAGTGGGTCCATTGGCTGGGTCCTTGGCTGATCTAAATTTCTTTAAAGTTGCACCACAAAATCTAAAACTTCTCAGGTTCCTATAGGCCAAGATGCTTGTCCTATAGTGGATCACACGCCCCCAGCGAACTGAAGCTCTCTGCTGCAGCTGGATGGGCTTAAGCCTATCCAGTTCTGGGTCAAAAGGGGTCCTTTCTTTTATCCCCTCCCTTGCTCATCGCAGCTCCCAGGCTCAGCCTGCTGTCCCCTTAGATTTCTATTCCCCAGGCAAAGCAATCAGGCTCTTAATTAAATTCCCTTGTTGGAAGTGGAGCCAGAGGAAAACAAACAGAAAATCCTCTCGGGTGGACTTGAGTCTCTCTGGCTCAGAGGAGGCTGAGTCTGAGGCTGGAGATAGCATCGCTGACTGCTCTCCTCCTTTGTCCCTCTCTGCTCTCTGGGAATTTCCTGCCGACTACAGCCCGGCTTGCCCCACCCGTCTGGCCCAGAGGAAATTGCAACAGGAGGGCATGTTATCAAGAGTCTCAGCATGTCTTCAGCAAACAGACAGAAGGAGAGGCTTCAAAGATGGGAAGGGGCATGGCAGAGGGGCTGACACATGGGCTCAGGGATCAACTGGGCGTTTGTCCTCTAGGACAGCAAGCCACTGATCCCATGCACCACCCCTCCCCGGCCAACTCCCCTTCTCCCCTGACGGCATGCCACGAACACAGCAATCATGAGAGCTGGAAACGGCACTGACTGGGAGTCAGAAAGCCTCAGTCTGTCCAGATCTGCTATTGACTCACCGTGGCTGGTCAATAATAATCAGAGGGAAAATGAGGTGGGACTGTGAGCTATGTCACTAAAACTTGTTCATGGATCATCTCATTTCCTTTTTTTCTTTATTTTTTTCTTGAGAAGAGATCTTACTCTGTACCTCAGGCTAAACTCGAGCTCACTAGAGTGGTGTTAAACTCTCAGCAATCCTCCTGCCTCAGCCTCCCAAATGCTGGGACTACAGGCATGCACCAATATTCCTGGCTAGGATTGGTGAACCCCAAAGATCAAAATGTTTCAGCTCTGACAATCTGTGCTTTATGCAACATTCAGTGTATTGCCAGGCCCTGGGCTGGGAATACAAAGGTAAGTGAAGCCTCACCTCTGTCCTCACGTTACAAACTGTGAGAATAGAAATCGCATCTTTTTTTTTTTTTTTTTGTCTTTTTCCTTTTTATCAGTACGGGGAATTGAACTCACGACCACCTGCTTGTAAGGCAGGTGCTTATGCTGCTGAGCTAAATCCCCGGCCCCTAGAAATTGAATCTTAATTGTCTTTTCTTCCTCTGTACCACTCCCCACAGCAATGTGTAAAGAGAGTCCTGAAAACATTTGGGTGTCTGATTCTTGGGGAGTCCGGTGTAACTGAGGTCCTGTCACCACCCTTGCAAGAGAAAGTTGCCTAATGTCCATATTTCTTTGTGCATCTGTACAATGGAAATACACAATGGTGCTTTCCTCACAGCATTACCCAGAGGAGAGACTGGTGGCTGGGAAGAAAAACTGCTCAATAAATACTGTTCCTGCCCTTGAGATGGACTCTCTGCCCTTTGCTTTACCTTGTCGCTAAGTGATGAGGGGCTATGCTGTCCCCTTGTCTGCTGTCCCCAGGTCAAAGACGTGAGCTAATTTCTACCATGGGAGCAGGTGGCGACCTTGTCCGGCTGGGTCCTGAGCCATGGGGAGGAGGTTAAGCGAGGAAAGGCTGGAGGAGGCTGGCTCCTGCTCCCCAGGAAGCCCGCCCCTGCACGCTGATTCCTATGCAGTCCCTGCTCCTTTCTGTCTAGACAGTGCTCCTCTAAGAAATTGCAAGCCGTGGTCAGGAAATCAAGGTTGCCCCAGACACGAGTTCCCTGCCACAGGACTCACCCACCACTCTTCAGAACAGGACACATCCAGCGACCACCTCTGAGCAGAGGGGACGGCAGTGGCTGAGTAGCTTCTCCTTCTGTTAACTCATCCATCCACTCACTCATCCATCAGTCTTTGGGTGAATGCTTATAATCTGAGAACCCAGGGCAAGGCACAGGGTACAGCTGGGCGAGTAAGACAGAGCCCTCCCTCCAGGAACTCATCATATTGGGAGAGATGAACATAAAATAACTATGGCAAATGGGTATCTGATTACAGCTTCAGTGACACAAGACAGCCATGGTGCTGTCCTCATCATAACTCTTTGTGGTCAGTAATATACTCTGACCACTCTACAGATGAGCAAACTGAGGCTCCCAGACCTGAGATAACTTGGAGTCGCACAGCCACTGAGCAGAGAATCAAGAGTCAAGCCCAGCTGGACTGCTGAGCCTGTACTTTTAACCCCCACTGTGTTGACACCCTCCAGGGAGAAAACCACATGTCCATGCAGTAGGAATGGGTAGACCACACGGAGAAGGAAGGGGATCCTGGGCTGGACCTCGAGGGATGAGTCCCTGTGGACCGAGGAGATGTGAAAGCGTGGAAATGTGGGGGATTCTGGCCAAAGGAATGGAGATCAGAGTTTTCTAGATTGAAGCAAAACAGGGACCAGGTCTGGCTATGAAGAATACGGGGTGGGAACGATTGGGAAGATCCTGGAATGCTAGGAAAGAGAGAACTGGGACTCTCAGGAGGCGGCAGAAGGAGCAGAGATGCCATTCATCTCCCCGCTCAAGCCCTTCCCTGGCTCCTGTGGGTGCCAAGGGTAAAGAGCATTTTTAAAATCTGGCCTTTGAGGCTCTTCATAAGCTTCCTGCCCCTCCAGCCCCATCTAAAGAACTAACGTCAGCCTCCCTTTCTGAATTCTCTCTTTAGCCTGGAGCTTCTGCACAAACCCCTCCAAGTAGGGGGCTCCTCTGCCTCTCCTGCCCTTTCTTTCTTAGCTCCCTTTCAGGGCTCAGCACAGGGCTGGCCCTTCCCAGAGTCCACTCTGAGCTTGAGTGTGTCTCCTCTGGCTCCTCCCCAGCTGTGCTGTGCTGAGCCCAGCGTGGCTTCCTCCTGCACACCGTGAGTACTCCACACCTCTGGGCCCAGGTAGGGACTGAGATGCCGAGGTGAACTCCCTTCCGCAGGCCCAGCCTTTTCCATCAACCTTTCCATCAACCGGCTCTCCGGAGTCATTTGCCATGTCGGCTCCTTTTATCCTCTACAGTGCGAGCTGATGTGAGGTTTGCCCCTCTCCTGCCCCTCCTTTGCTCATCCCTGGCCAGGGCTGCTTCTGAGTTGTCAGAATCTTTCCCTAAAGGACACAAACTTAGCATGTGTCCATCTCTACTCTGCCACGTGGACTTTTCAACAGAAGGATCTCAGACTAGAACCCTGGTAGGGCCACAGTACGTGGACTCCTCTGTAACAGTTCACCTGGAGGCATCCGCTGCAGTGCCTATTTTGAGACCTGCCTGCATTGCCGTGGGTCAATCTTCTTACTTCCTATGTGGGAAAAAAGCCCAGGCCTGAACAGAGTTGAGCAGGCTGAGGTGTGGTTGCCGATAACTCTTATTTGCCAGTGATTTATTTGCCTGGGATTTGCACTAAGACAAAAAGAGCCTTTGCATTATTAATGATCATTGATCACAGCCTTCCAAAAACCAAAGAGATTGAGAGCACTGGCGGCTCCAGGCCAATCACCAAATGATAAACGGGGTGGGGGGATGAGACACAGAGGAAGGACAGGCAGGCCAGGTAGGTGGAGAATTCTGCGCAGAAGGAAGGTCACAGAATGACACCGAAAAGGATGTGGACAAGCTGCGGAGTTTTGGGACGAGCCAGATGTCAAAGGTGCCAGTGCACACTTGGGGCCTCTCCCTCCCCCCAGCTAAGAAGACCTCAAGACCGCACAGTACAAGGGACACCAGGTCACTTGATCGGAAGACATAATCCGATGGCAGATTCTCATAAGGAGGCTTCAAAATACACAAAGGCCAAGTGGACAAAATGCCGCCAAGGACACAGAAGGCCAGTTCCGCTGGAGCTGCGTGGCACCTGGACTTCAGACCTGTCCAGCGCTCCGGCCTCTTCTCTGGAAGTTTCTTGCTGTTTCTGTCTTTGAGCCAAGTCTGTTCTCTCAGCTGGCTCTCTGCAGCCCGGGCAGATTCATCTAGGCACCCCGACCCTCGCTGGAACCTCAGCAGGGAGGCTGGACTTCAGAATCCTCTGACCTCACAAGACAGGCCACCCTCAGGAGTTGGCCAGACACTGCCTACCACTGGACGGAGGGGTCACTCCCTTCCCTCCTCCTGTCTGAGCACAAGCCTGCTTTCCTAGTGTACGCTCACCGGGCCATCAGTCAGAGCCTCCCCCTCACTCTCTGTCCCCCGCTGTATTTCCTTCTCTACCATCTATGTACCTCTATGCAAGGTTTATTTAGTGAGTACACTGTGCCTACCCCAGTATAATGTAGGCTCCGGGGTCCACGTCTGTTTTGATCACCCCCACAAGTAGGACCGATGACATACTGACCCGGGCTACATCCATAAATGCAGTGCTAGCCCATTCGCGGTGAACACCGGGGTAAATGGACCGCTGAGGTCTCGGGCATGGCCCACCTCCCGGCACAGCCCTGCCCCAGACCCAGCTCACCGCCCTCTACAGGTGGGGACCTCCTCCTTCCGTCTCCCTGGGGCTGGGGCCGGCTCTGCGAGCTCCCAGGCCAGCCGCACCGGGGTGGCGGGGGCCGAGCTCCCTCCTGGAGGGCGGGGGGCCGAGTGGGGAGCGAGCCTGGAGGGGAGGAGCTGGGGAGGGGAGCGCGCGGCCGGGCGGGCGGGCGGCGCCGGCAGCAGCGGAGCCCGAGCTGCAGGGCGCTGGGAGCGCGGCCCGGCGGGGTCCCCGGGCAGCGGGGCCCGGAGCTTGCGGGGTCGCAGTGCAGTCCAGGCGGCAGCAGCGGAGGCCGGAGAGCCGGATCGCGGGCGGGCGCCCCGGCGTCCGTTCGCACCTGCCGGCCGCAGGGGGTAAGCGCTGGGCGCCGCGTGCCGCCGGGGAGGGGGCGTCGCCACCTCGCACAGCCGGGCCCGCCAGGACCGACCGGGGCGCCAGGCGGGGGCGCCCCTCACCCGGCTCGGTGCCGGGGGACCGCTTCTCTGCGTCTTCGGACAGCAGGGGCGGGCGCGGGGCAGAGGGTCCTGGGAGACCTGTCCCGCCAGGGGGGACCCCTAGGGTGAGCCGACACAGTCCCCGGGGGGCTGCTGCGGTTCCCGAGTGCGCGTTCCGGGGGGACCCTGCGCCCCAGCAAGAAGCGTTGGAGCGCGAGGTTCACCCCCCGGCCAGAGCTGCGACACCCCCAGGTGGCCCTGGCGCGGCCGAGCAAAGCTGGGCGCTGCCCCCTGCTGGCCAGGTCTGGGTTCGGCGCCGCCGCAGGGGCGCCCTTTTCTAGAGCAGACTTGAAAGAGTCCGGGCGTGGAGCCCCAGGCTCCCCACCTTGCTTGTGACCTTGGGCAGGTCACTACCACTCTCCGAGCCTCGATGTGCACATCTACCAAATGGCGGGGCTCCTTCTGCCTTCAGATTCACAGCAGTGGACGAGATGCCCGATGGATGCCTTATTTTTTTTTAATTGTAAAGTTCTGTTCAGTTCCTAGCTAATCACGTAACGTCAGAACTGGAAGGGCATTAAGACATCTGCTTTCCTGCAGACGGGGAAAGTGGAGAATACATGTTGCCCAAGGTCACAGTGCCCGTAGAGACTAAAATTCCCTGTGTTACTAGGGTCTGGGGAAGTTCAAGAATTATTGAGGGGGGTCCTCAGTCTGGCCAGCTGCTTAACTGGACATGTGGTCTCTGGCAAGACCTCAACCTCTCTGAGCCTTGACTCTCTCCTATATGAAAGGATAACAACACCCCCTCCCCAATGTGCACCCCATGGGATTGTTACTCTGCATAACCTCGCTCCAAAGGAGAGCTCAGTCCTTGGTGGCCTTCACTGCTCTGATTACTAGAAGCAAGGTCTGCTCCCTTCCTTGGAATCGCCTTCCAGTGGCGCATACCCTGTGCTTCCTCTGGACCACACGGGCCGGGTCTCAGCCCTCCTTGCAGGGGTCTTGAAGGACTCTTTGTCACAGCAGCAAGTGAGGCCCCTTTGGTGGCTGGGTCTTCTTCAGCCTCTGATCCTGTGAGCAGAAATGGGTAAGCTTTGTCATGGAGGCATCCAGGAAGCCAGGAGCTGGAGGAGGCTGTGGGAGGTTGGGGGCAAGGCCAGCTGGACATGACTGGCAGGACCCAGGGCCTCTGCTGATCCCCAGCTGGTACAGGGCCAGAAATACACAGGAGCTGCCTGAGAGTTGGTCAGCTGCCCAGTGAGTAAATAATGAGGGTGGGGCACTCCATCGTCCCTTCTCTCCTAGGCCACAGATGGGTGAGTATTCTTTTTGGCATGGTGATGTGAATATGAGCAGAAATAAGAGACTCTTAGAGCTGGCAGTTTCCAGACCCAAGAGGTCTCTCTCGTGGCACAGATGGTTCCCACCTGAGGCCCACCAGTGCAGGGGTCTGCCCAAGGTCAGCAGGAAGTCAGCTTGGACTTTCCCTCTCGGCAGCCCACACTGTTGACCATGCCTTCCATCCGGAAGGTCTCCTCTTGGCTCCTGTGACTTAATGCTTAATGTTTTCTCTTCAACCTTCTCGGTGTTTTTGCAGGTGCATCCTTTCTACTGCCACAAGATGCTCCGTTGTCCTGCTTGCCTCCCCCCTTGTAGCAGACCCTCTCCCTGGGTGATCACACCCCCCCCCCCGGCTTTAGTCCTCTATCACATGATTCCAATTTATGTCTCCAGCCCAGATCACTCCTGGGGCTGGCGACCTATCCGTTTATTGTTAACCAGGCACTGTTCAGGCCCTGGGGATACGTGAGGAGCTAGACAGAAGCTATGTGTTATTAGGGTGTGTGGGGCTGGGAGGGGTAGAGAGACAAGCAGTAAACATCCAAGTGGAAAATGCCAGAGAAGGTTAAGAACTAAAATGAGCACAAATGAGGGTGACATGGCAAATGATGAGAGAGGGGGCAGCGTAGCAAGTGGGGTCAGAGGGGTGGCAGGAGTGGGAAAATATCATGTAGGGTTTTGTAAGCCGTGGTGAGGGTTTGGGATTTTGTTCTAAATACGGTGAGAGCCACTGGAGGATTATAAATAGGGGAGAAGGCAGGCTGTTGTTTATTTTATTATCATCTCTTGCAGTATTGGGGGATCGAGCCAGGATACCATGCATGCAAAGCAAACACTGTCCCACTGAGCTACCCTCCCAGCCCAGATGCCATTATTTCTCCAGGACCCATTTAAACCCTGAGAGAAGAATTATTTTAGATTGACTCAAGATGCTCAGGGCGTGGAGTTGTCAGGGAACAGGTAAACCTTAAAGGAGCTGCTGTCCACAGGCAGTAAGAGGCACAAACCCACCTGGAGTCAGGACAGGGGATAACCAAGAAGGATTTTGCTCCAGGGGACCAAGAAAGGCTTCCTGGAGGAAGGGGCGTCTATGTGTGAAGTCAAGGGAAAAAAATTATTCTTCTGGGTAGATGAAACAGCCTGAACTAAGATATAAGTGCCCCAGATCCTGTAAGGGCAGGAGAAGTCCTGGCTGTTAAGACCAAGGTCCTTGCCACTGACTTGTGTGGACCTCAGTTTCCTCCTTCTTTTAATGAATTAACAAATTAGAAGAGAAAATTCCACGTTCTGGGAGTAGGCTGGGATATGGCTCAGGAGTAGAGCGTTTGTCTAGCGTGTGTGAGGTCTGGGCTCCACCCCCAGCAGTTCAGAAAAGAAAGAAATATCGATTAAATATTTAGAGGCTGGATAAAAAGAGCAGGGTAACAGCTGCCAAGAAGGAGACTGAGAGGGGCTGCAGTGGGTGGGAAAAGATGGCGGCATGCCTGGGCTTGGACTCCTGTAGGATATCCAGGAGGTTACAGAGAGGGAAGGCCAAAGGTCAAATTGTCACTATTTTTCTTTCATTCATTCTTTGAGTAAATCTTAATTAATCACCTGTTCAGTGTGAAGCCCAAAATAGTCAGCTATGAACAAAACTGGGTCCTTGCACTGGAAACATGCTTACAGGGAGAGAGGCCCCTAAACAGTAGACGGTGGATGATGTGAGATGTACGTGTGAATCTTAAATGCGTGGTACTGGGTTAACATGGAGGAAAGAAGCTGGCCTTTCTGGGGTGGAAAGAGCAAGGTGAGCTTCAGAAAAGAGACTGTTGATCTTGGTCCTGAGGGTGAAAAGGAGTTGGCTGGGTAGATGGCAGAAGGGCACTGGGCCTTTCTGAAAATCAAGCCTGGCAGAGAGACAGGTTAGCCCTGAGGCCACTCCAGGAGAGTCTGGTGTGATGCCCAATAAGAGGGCCAATGGGACAGAGGAAGGAGTGGCCTTTTTCTGAAGGGTAAGGTAGAAGAGAGAGGAGAGGCACGCTGTAAAGGGGGTGTCTTAGTTACTGTCTTAGTGATGATGCACAATACCAAACACCCACAAATTTGAGGAGGAAAGGTGTATTTCAGCTCACAGTTTGTAGAGGCTTCAGTTCATAATGGGCTGGCATCAAGGCAGGGCAGCGTGGCAGAGGTCATGGCAAGGAGAAAGAACTCATGCCATGGTGAGGGGGAAGCAGGGAGAAATCAGGGCAAGGAGATCCTTCCAGGCCACATCTTCAGTGACCCATAGCCTCCAACCAAACTCCACCTCCCAGCATTATACTCAGCTCCCAGCCCATCGTGGACTAATCCAACCCTGAGTATCACACTCCACGAGCCAATCACCTCCCAAGCCCCACCTGTGAGCGTGCGAGGCTTTGAAGGGACACCTAGATATAAGGCATAAAAGGGGACAACCTGTGCTATCAGAGATGGGAGAGAACCACAGGGCTTTTGTAAGCACGGGTCTCTGCCTCGAGGCAGAGGGAGGCTGGGTCTTTTGCTGAGTTCCAGGTGAAGCAGCAAGTTGAAAGCTAGAGGGTGTGGCCCCTCGAAGGCATGAAACTTGGAAAAGGACGTGGGGGGGATTCCAGGCAAGGCTTCTCCAAGCTCCAGTCCTGTGGCTGGGTATCGCTGAGCCCAGCTTCTCAGTTGCTGATGCTGTTTGCCTTTTTATGCTCAGCTGCAAAACCGCTCCCAGAGCGGCCTCGGGGCTGCCACAGATTACGGACACGTGCTCATGGTTCTCTGCACACTACACTGTCATCCTCATCACATCCGTGGTCCTGGGGACCAGCAGTGTTTCCCCAGGGCCACTGTGAGTCTCCCTAAGGCTGGTGTCACATTGCATGCAGGTTTTATTGGGTGGTGGTTATTGAATGGGTGAGGAATCAGACTCAGAGAGATTGAGGTTCTTAACCTGGAGTCCCAGAGCTAATAACTGGGAAGCTGGGAAGCAAGTTGTCTACCTAAGTCCAGAACTTGCACCCACTTCTAACTACTGCGGCTCCCAGCAGGGAAAGCAGATGGTGAATAGTGGGTTGGATCCTGTAAACACACATCCAGCGCCTGATTTCTAGGAAATGAATTCTTATTATTAGTACCTTGTTTATCCAGTCTGGAGAAGGCAGATTCTCTTTTGTCTTGATAATGGTTTCACTCTGTCAACTCAAGTGCTCTCTGGGGATGGAGCTGTGCAACATCTGGGGGTGGAGAGGGGTGCCAGGTTGAGCTCAGGGTCAGGGGATGCAGTTCTGCAGGCTTCTAGCAGACACAGCATGGTCTGTCTGCTTCCCGCCTCTCCTTTGGCCTGCGCCGAACGCCGTTCATCAGCAGGCCTGGCCGAGGTGAGGGTGACGGGGCCCCAGCAGGTGCTGGGAAAGGTTTTCTGGGAGTGTAGATACATGTGCTGGCCAAATATTTGTGGGAGAAAGAAGGGAGTGGCTCTGACTTCCCCCAGCACTTCTATGAGTCGTGCATTTGGAGTCGGGGAAGCCCAGATTCCAGTGCTAAATCCCCTGCGTCCTGGTTCTGTGCCCTTGGTTTGTTGGTTT